GTCTTGTTTAGCTATACAAAATTTTTATTTTTAACCATAACCTCTTTTTCACCCGTGCCTTATCAGTTATCATATTTTAATAACAAAAACAATATTAAATACTGGTCATCGACTGTTTTAATATTTGACGTATGTATATTTATATTGATACAAATAACTAAATAAGTTCCTGACTTACTGCACATGAATTAATACAATACAAAAATGAATAGGTATATAATATTACTTTATACTAAACACCTATGTAATATTATCTCGTTGGTAGCCACCAAGGAATGGCTCATTATAAAAATGTGCATCTCAAATCACAATATTATTAGTAGCAGTAAGTAAGTACGTATAGATTATATTATAAAGATATCTATCTCAATAACTTAAAATTTATAGCGCTGTAGCAATGTTCATATCGGTACATCGTACACATACGTTAATCAAAAACTTCGCAAATAAATAACCCAATGTCATAACCATGTATGTTACACAATTAACTCGTTTAGTAAATATTATTATAGATTGGATAGCAAAGTATCAAAATATTATTTGTATTTAGAACATTAACTTAATAAATATTAATGACAGTTCACCGTATTTGTATTCTTTGAGATTCACAATTGTATAATATATTACATCTTCTTATATGTAGGTATTAGGTACTATAATTCTTTGAGAATTTTGGGCTAGTTGGAATACTAAATAATACGGCAGTATTGTTAATATTAATTATTATAAGTATTGCCTGTGTTTTGGCATTTGGTTATAAAAATAATTAAGATTTTACAGATTTGAAGTTTATTAAATAGGTAATCTCTAAAAAAAAGTTATTTCAATAATCAAATTTTTAATCAGGATTTTTTTCTTTTACTTTTTAATAAGTTTGAGTGTTGACTGACGTAAGCTTTTGATATTAATGTTGTAAATCGATTATTTTAGCTGAGTTGCCTGAGTACTTATGGAAAATATATTGATTAAAGAGACTACTCGTAAAAAAAAAAAAAAATGTAATCGTGTTTGTTTATTATTAAAAATGTAAAACCCGTGTTTCACCAAAGTGACGAAAATTCCTATTGTGTAACTCTGCATAACTTAAGAACAATACTCTTCGATACCTAGGTGGCTAGCCATTGTACATACATTTATAAATAGACCCGTCACTTGAAAAAATATCATTATATCAAATATGTACAAAATATAAGTAAGTATATGACGCTTGGTTGTAGTGGTGAGTTTTCCATAATCCAAATCCGCTTGTTTTCTGTGTTTCAAAAATAAAGATAAACGACGTGTAACATTTTATTGTTAGATTTGTGTTATTTGTAAGATTTATACCATATAAAAGTATATCCCCTAAGCCTCTAAGTAGTTGGAATTAACACAAATCTATTGTAGAATTAAATATTTTATCAAACGCGTAATTGTAGGTAATATTATTTTATAATTATTGTAAATATATAGTGGCATAGTGATATATTATTCGTAGGTACCGATTGTTGAATACAATTGTTAAATAATTATTATGTTAATGGCTATAAGTCTTAAGCCGATTAAGTATTATAAATTGTTTACAATACTACAAACATATTGTGTAGGATACTAATTACCAGATTTACCTAGCATTCATAAACGCCTCCTCCTCTACCACATTGTAATGCTTTATAACGCAAATTCTAATGTTTAAAATTTTTTTGTATACAGACTTTATTTTTAGATACCTATTTGGATTCTTGATACCTATCATTTAAGAAGTGAATAGAAATGTCTTGTATTCACATAAAAGCTGCTCTAATTATCTAGTGCCTACAAGATAATATAAAACATACTTAGACAATGTTTATAATATCATAAAATTATAAAACACCAATCCATTACTATAAATTGCTATAGTTTTAAAAAATACATGGCCCCCATTGGTTTAAAGCTATTATGGTGGACTTCTCAGACCTTAATACATAAAGTTTAATAATTCAGAAATTACTCGTTCGAACTTTAATCTATATATTAAATATATCAATATTTAAAAAAAAATAATTTACTTAACAATGTACAGTAAAAACGTATGCTATGCTACATGGAAAAACAATGAATCATTAATATGTAGGTACCTATTTTTAGGCTTCTGGCGTTCAGAACTCAAAGTTTTAGTTATAAATTTCAAACAATTTTATTTATAAAGATGAGTTCTAACGTAACTATACTATAATGCGAACCAAATTCGAATCCATAAAATTGAATTATATGATTAAACAAAAATAAAAACAAATGATTGAAAAATATATATATGTCTACGACGTTTCTATGGTAACGTAATTATATTATGTATGGTTTGCTTGGGGCAACTTAGATACAGTAAGCCGAAACATTGACGTCCAAAAATCTGTCAGAAAAAAAATTGATCATAAAGCTCAAAAATATAATATCTATGTTAAAAGAATCGTATACCTACTGACTAAAATAAGAAGTTTGTATCGACACACGAAACTCTTATAATTACATAATAATCCTAGTATTTTTAACTTAATGTTTTAAAGTAGTCATACTAAACATTTTTTAAAATTAGTACCTATTTGAATAAATAAATTATTAAAGGTAAAGGTGGGTCGACCATACTCGATGAATGCGAATCGTGCAGCACTGAAAAGTGTACAATCAATTAATCATAAGTATATCTACATTCCGTACATAGTGATTAAATTGTATTATACCTACTAACTGAATAACTCAACTTCGCCAGTAAGCAGTTTTTTTTATGCAAATCCTACATAGTATATACGTTATAAGGATTATAGGTGTATTTCGGTTTGAGTGTATCTCAGTTTTAGTGTACCTCGCAGTTCACGAACAAATTTACGTCAGTGTACCTAAGCATCTTGTAAAATAATCAGACTTAGATGGGTAACGACAAGTCACAGATATGATTTATCACTTAGTATATTTTTTACGGGGCTTCAACTTTTACTCTCTAAACATTTCGGATATCTCTGAAAAAAATATCTAAGATTTTCGTCAAAATCAATCGAGTAGTTTTTGCGTGTGGAAGCTAAAAATGTACATTTGGTTTTAAAATATAGTTTCTTTAATCGAGACCATGTAGAATTTGCCGTTTGTTTGCAATGCTTGTTTTTACCTCATCTGTCAAAGTAACCAATGGCAACCATATAATAATATTATTATAATCTTCAACAAATGGCAACCATTTATAAACAACAAAAAACGTTTCAAGGTTTGAATCTCAAAATCCTTGTTTGAAAGAACGTCCTTGAAATGCGAATCCTTTCCTAGTGGATCTCAAAAACGAAACTACTGACCACATACCGCATGCTCATATTTTCTGCGGTACTGGTTAGGCGTTGATGAATCTGTCAGTCAGGACAAGCCCTTTTATATAATATACATAGATTATAAATGTTGTTTTAGGAGTTGGGACGTAAGGCCACCACAACAAACAATATAATCTTAGAGGTATAATTGGTTTAGTCGATATTTTCTTTTTGTGCAAATCAACAAGTCCAATAATTTGTTCAGATGAACCCTGTGCCCCGTGTATATAATGGTCATAATTGTACCTTGTAGAATAATATTATCGTTGTGTTTTTCGAAAAGCAGATATTACAAACGACGATGATGTTGATAGTATTTTAAAAATAAACCGTTAGTATGCATCTCAAATTCAAGTAGATTTATAATGATATACTGTTAACGGTAACATTATTAATTAACACTGTATCATCAAAAGTTTTTCGCTTCTACCATATACATATAGACTAAAAGTCCGTGCACCCGGGTAACTTTACTGTATAGAAAACATTTTATCTGATTCGCTTATATCTCTTCTCAATCATTAAACTAAATTTATCTATACAAAAGTTTTTATATAAATAACACCCATCTTGTTTGTACGATATACCTACATATTTCAAACCAACTTTTTTTAAACTTTTAGGTTACATTATGTAATCGTATTACTGCGAGGCAAGGTTGGTAAGTTTGATGATAGACAGCTTTCAAAATGTAATTTAAATTAATTTTCCAAACTACAAACCTGTAGATATAAGATATTTTTAAAACATACGCGTAATGTAACGTGTATATAATATAAATGTTTAAAATCGCAATAAATAAATAAACCAGCGTAACAACAGATAAAAATTCTTAGACTTTTACGGCAAAATATTCCTATATAAAACAATATTAATATGTTCATGCGATAATAATAAACTATAGAAAATACGATAATCTGGCGATGTCGTTTGAAACGAACGGAGGAAAAAATGAAATGTGTTCTGCAGATAGCACTTTGTTTGTACGTATAGTGGATAGGTACGTTTTCTGTAAGAGTATTATAGACATGAATAACGTAATATTATACAGCAAACGTTTTCTGTATTGCCTACACAGAAATGACAACAACATTAATAATAATATAATATAATATTATTGTATTCGTCGGGTCAAAAATATATGCGACTATTTTCTGTTTCGACTGGCATAAAAATTGCATTGCGCATGCCTGCCTATACAATGTAGGCATTTAATGTACATTATATATATATGCAATGTATAAAAAATATAACACGATAAATATCATGTATCATATTGTGAGTAGTGTACGGTACTGTGCAGTGTGCAGTATGCTGCAGTTGCAGTAAGCACACAAGAGAATATTATAAACCATTTCACCCAAAATCTCATCAAACCAATTTTACCGGATGGGGTATTCTATAATTTCCAAACTAGTTTTCAAGCCTACAGCGTTAGTAAGAGTTACCTGTTAACCACTGCTCAGCTATACTGCAGGGATAACTAATGAAATCTGAAAAAAAAAAATACAAAAATCGACTTGACTTAGGTTAATGAAATGACTCACCCTTACATAATACATTTCCATATTGGTACTGATATACAATACAATGCATTTAAAACGCCATTCAAAATGGTTTATTATTTAGGTTACGAATTCAAAAGTAATAACAAAATAGTAACAAAATTATTTTTGTCATTCACAGCAGTCCGGATCGTCCTCAGGGGCAAGGCTCACGCGGAATGGCAAGTGTTGGTTAGCGGTGATCGTTCAGCTATAAAAGACGATCAGTACTTCATTGACAATCGATCGTTAATCTTCGGAAAAGGTTTGTAAATATAAGTATACAATATATAAGTACGTAGGGTTGGGTAAAGTACTATTTTTAAATATTTAAAATAAATATCAAAATTCTTATAAAAAATAGTATTCCGAATACGGAATATGAATTCGAATATACTTTATAAAAACAATATTTTGAATAATGTGTTTAAAATACTATATAAATATCCCAAATGATTTTCATATATTTGTTGGTTTCGATGTTAAAAAAAAATTATCCTTAAAAATGTAAATATATATTGTATATGGTTGAGGGTTTTTTAATATTTGTGTATATAATACAACTATATAAGATGTTTTATGATTTACAACATAACAATAAAAATTCAATTCAATTAATTATTGAGATGAAAAATTTCTCTCTCGAAATGTTTTTAAAATTATTCAGAATGCTGAGTTTGAAATATACTTTTTATTCGGAAATCCGGAATATTCTACTCACGAGTCTGTATATAAGTATATAACTATGTATTATACGATAATCCACCTCTGAAAGTAAATAAAATAGTATCGGAGTGTAAAAAAAGTAATTCTTCACTGAGGAAATTTAAAAAAAAAATGTATTCCAGTAGACCGGCAAGACGGTCCCGCTCCGATCCTGCCGCGAGGAATTCACCACTTCCCGTTCAAGTTCCAACTTCCTCAGAGCTCGTTGCCTTGTTCGTTCGAGAGCAAACCCGGATACGTCAGATACTACATCAAGGTAAGCGCCGAGTGCGTGTGAAAGCTGTATTTTTATTCTAGACCTAAAACGTATATTATATCAATAAATTGCAGTATCGCCATTGCTGCGTATGCATTATAAATTAGTTGTATTCGATGATTTTTTTTTTTTCATTTGGGGGTGATTTATGTGAGCAATGAAAAAAAAAGAGACCTAAAATATATTGGGGATGCTAAAATAAGACATTAATAGTCGGTCTTACTATTTAGTACTTAGTTTTTTGTACATACACACAAGCACACTATGTAGAATGTAGATATATACATTATATTATAATATAATACGCGGTGATACATTTAACTTAAGACATTAAGTTATTATTTCAAAAAGTATATTAATGTCTTAAAAAATATTTTTTTACATGGATTCAAGTCGTTAACGAAACAATGTTTGCTTGAAAAAAACAAATTCTTAAACATTTTTTAAGTTTTTTATGTTTTTGTATAAAACACACAATAGTTTATGAGTTATAATCATTTAACGCTCTGATGAGCGGAGTGGAGTGGTACGCGATTACCCCGCAAAATGTTGGTTCACTATTATATTCCTCTCATCTAAGCTTTAAATACTCATAATTCATAAACTATACGTCCTAAGTTTGTTTTTTAACAAATCTAAATACTCAGAAAAATATATTCTGCTTTCGAAGAACAAATTAAAACTGCATGTCATAATACAAAAAAGTAAAAACTTAGAAAAATGTTGGATATAAAAATTTTGTTTTTTAATGACTAGAAACCATGAACAATTTGTTTTCAAAAACATTTATACATTTTGAAATAATGAGTGTTAAATGATAAAAGAACCCCCTTGTATTTAATCAATGACGATAGGTATCGAACATCTTAATCTTGCTAGTCGAATTTCTATAAGGCTGTAAAGACAACAATGCAATTGAAATTCGATTATTTCCCAAACTCAAAATGTTAACCCATTTCAAAACAATTATCAAGAAGAACATACTATGCGTGTTATCTGTGTTTGTGTGGACGACCATAAACCTATTTAAAAATTGAATTGCGGCTTGGATTTTTGTAGAGGTGCTAAATTCGAGGAGCTATAGAGGAGGAGGCTGGTGAGAGATTTATAGTAACCCCTTAGTTGTCACTATATATTATACGTATGTGCATTTAATTTGTACTCGCCCTGGTCAGAGATTTGTCTTTTCCGCAGGTCACCCTCGACATACCGTACGCGTCTCCTCCGCAAGGCATGAAGTACTTCACCATCATAGGACCACACATTGACTGCATGGACGATCAATATCTGGTGAGTAATATAATATAGAATATTGGATACAATAATTTTAAAAGTAGTTTTTTAAAAAATAACATTTTTGAGGCCAGCCATCGGCGAATTAATGAAATAAATTTAAATTTAATCTTATGTATTAACTTGAGGTAATAATTTGAGTTTTTCATTTACCTAACTTTAACTCTATTTTGTCCTATTTCAACTTAAGAGTAACACAATATTTTTTAATTTCCTCAATAAATAATTGAATTTTGAATTTTACATTAGGTACCAAAGAAATAATTGACAAATAACTGGCATAGCAAGTTATTTGTATGTGTGTCATAGTTTTACAAATTGATTTTTATTTTTTTTTTTTTATCAGTGTTTTCTCTAGATATTTTATTCTTTTCAAATGGCAATAACAACCATATAGAATATAGATACATTGAATTTTTTATCTTAAAGCGGAATATTTGTCGAAAAATTCTCATACATAAATATCGAATACTGGGCCAATACTTTATTTTTCATATGCTGATTTTGAAGTTTAGATGAGCGGAATAGAGAACAAACATTCTTATAACTATGACTACCTCGCGGGTTCTATATCGAGGTCACTTATAAAATATATAAACTATTGTGAGTCGATATCTTTTTGTACCTTTTAAATTTTGAAATTATAAACAAAAACGTTCCGATAAAAGAAATGTCGTTCGTTTAAGAATCACTCTATACTTTATAGATACTTGAAACGTATCACATATATGTTGTAGAAATTAAAAAGTTTTACGAAAAACATCCATATTATTACTAAACGTTTCTCAAACTGATGCATGTTTGTAAAAACTAAATAAGCAAGTAGTAAGTTTTTTTTATTTAAAAAAAACACATTAAACCCTAACAATACATGTGTATACATTAAAATTACATTGTCCATTTCCCTAGTCTAAACATTGAGTAGTTATTTTTTTTTGATGTTCTTGTCCAATAGACTTCATTGGTCCATGTTGATGTCTGTTCACAGATATTTTAATTGGAAAATATTGTATATAAGGTTACACAATGTTTCGATAAGATTTGTTTTTCTTCAGCAATATTATCGTAAGAGTTACAAATTTAATTATCATTGACGAAAAGCATTAAAAGGTTCAACTCAAAGTTATTTTTAGCACGACACCTTTCCGTAAAATATAACGATGCCTTTCACAAAATGTGTAAACCCATTTAATGAAATAACGAAAGCTTTGAAATTAAAATTTAATGATAATATACCCGCAAACAAATCCTTCATTCAACAGTGCTTTGTAAAATTACAAATCGATTCTATTGCCTATCATAGGTTTCATCGAATAAACATCTATAAAATAAATGTTCATATTATTATAATATCTAAACGTGTCGTTTTTCGTGTGGTTAATAAAAATAAAAATACTATAATCAATCACTTTTATGTAACTCGGCGGAAGAACTCTATAAATATATTCAAAGTACTTGAAAAATTACTAAGGTTTCTCGTGAAATAATGGTCTGATTTTTTATGGACCATTTACTTAACCCTACTTAACTTTTGCTTTAAGTTTCAGCCGAATCGGGGAAATAGTTCACCGAAAAAAAAGTAACAAAAAACACAAAAAAGGTTTTTAAGAACTGAATTTAAATTTTAAAAAAGGAAGTAAACAACACAAACTTTATCTAAGAAATGATCAACTAACTGTATAATATGAATTATATATACCTAGTATATAATATGTATTTATATTCACAAATTATTAATAATATATCTATACATAAAGTATACTTCTGTATTGTACTTTTTCAGTGCAAATTATTTCTAAACATTTAATTTCGTTAGAACTCGTGAGTCGTGACTACTCCTAAAAAAAAATTTAAAAAAAATCTTTTTCGATATATTTTTACAAATTTTCGTTATGTTAATACCTTTCAAACATTATTATAGTATCATTTTTTTTAAAACATAATGATAATATCCAAACACAACATAAATGATAATTAAAACCTGAAGTTTATTAATTTCAATTCTCTATAGACACATTATATATGTTTGGCTTCGCAGCTAGTCTGTTGAGGCCTAACTAATATTAAGCAGGTACTTACCTACTGCAAGCACAGAAATATGAGAAAAATGTTGTAAGCTATTACAAAATGTAACATTATTGAGCTTAAAAAATTAAAAGTGTATTTTTATTTTTAATGTAAATAGTGTTTTATTTTAGTGCAGCTTGCAATATGAAGAATGTTAGTATCCATAATATTTATAGAGGCGTGCATAATATACATACACATACTAAAAGTATGTTGAATTCACTTATATTAAATTACACTACAACAATTAATATACTCTATAAAAAGACAAAAACGTTCACACACTATATATATAAAACTATTCTAGAATTTTTTTTTTTAAATCCTCTGGGCTTTTTGGTGGCCTATAATGCTTGATTCTAGGAAACACAATATTTTTAATTTTTTTATAAACAATTCATATTTAATAAATAATTTAAATAATCAAATATGTCCCGTAAAAAAGGACTAATATTGTGAAACAGGAGAGAGAAAGGCGTTCTTTGATGGCAACCCTCTGGTGAATATATATAGGAAACTGCCACATCTGTTATTATTATGCCGCGTCCGCAACTCCTCCATTGAAATATTCTGTGTTTTTAATTTTCAAGCTTACGATATTACATAAAATAAATCTTGTTTTATTTCATAAAAAACAATTGTTATTGATTTATAAATGTATAAAAAAAAAATCCAATTAACGATACACATGTATAGTAGTACAGTGAACAATATTATTAGACGTGTTGGCCTGTGTATTTGTACGCAGGATTATATTATTTATACAGCTGAATATACAACGATTAAGACTAATAATTTCCTGTTTTATTAAATACTTACCAACCTTCTATTTTTGCAAATGTGCAGTATATATTTATACATTGTATATGCAGGTTTATATTATGAGAAATTCGGGTATTCTGAAAACTATACAAAGTCAACCTGGTCGATGCTTTTAGTGGCTATACTATAACACTATTTTTTTTAAATAATTATTCTGATGATTTTTTTTATGTATTTTGAATTTTTAAAACCATCAACCATCATTTTGAAATTAATTTTGAAAATATTTATTAATCATAGCAGGTAGTATTTATTTAGTAGTCACTTAAATAGAACTCTCCGTACATAATTTCCAAACGTTATGAGCAATAGGTATGTAGGTTTTGCCACCTGAGATTACCCATGCCAAATTATTTTTTTTTTTTTATAAATATATTTGTAACCTAATGTATACATCATATAATATATCTACTTATTATAATAGTAATGTAATATATTAATGTGTAACCAAATAATGGCCACCCTGTAAATAAACAAAAAAACATATTTTATTTTTGTGAGCTGAAAAATGTCATGTATGAAATCCCTTTTAGGAGTACCGCCTACCTAGGTATAGGGATTGAAAAAATAAAATATAAGCACCCTCTAAATCTCGAGAAATCTGTTGGTATTACTTTTTATTGAAAATGGTCTAGGTAAAAGTTTTTGAGTCTATTAACTCAAATAAACCAACGTGGTCACGTGGGTAAAAAATATAGTGACCAAATATCAAAACTATAAGTTAAAATTATTACACCCAATCATAATAACAATATTATACAATATGTAACTAGCAGTAGTGGCAACCATTTGATTAACATGGTTAACGTGGTTACAGTAGAACATGTTGCAATATGTATATACAATACACATATAAGTACTTAGGCCACGAGACTTAAAATTTCGTTACTAAAAAATACACAGCTACTCATATAATATATTATTATACGCACAGACCATGCCATATAATATATAGGTAGGTATGCTTGGTTTATACCATAGAATGCCGCCTATAGTCAAAATTCATGTTTATATACAGGAAGGGATGGGTGACTCCATCAAATTAAAAATAACTACTAAGATGTGAAAAATCATAATGAACATTTAAAGTTTTCCAAATTACCACCACTTTTTTAATCTACACGACTGATGGGTAGGTGCGATGTATAATATCCACCTAACTTCATAAGCTCGTCTAGGTCTAATTTATTACGTACGGTGTTGTGTGTGTAGAATGCGAATTCTTCAAACCGTTGTTAATATAATACAATGGGATGTAATATATTATATTGTATAATATAGTACTCGTAGTACAATAGTATTATATGTATACATGCAAGGTGATTAATTTATCTGTTAACCACCATTTTCTCTGTAAATGCATGTGTATTTGAACATTTTTTGCTTTTACATAATTTTAAGTCTCTACAACAGTAGATATTTTCCACTCCACTGCATTCATCTTACATTTAAATACTTATAAGGAATACATTTTAACTTACGATCAATTAACGCTTAAAGACTAGTTGGTTCGAATTTCAATTATTAGGTACACAGAAATTCTCAGAAAAATGTTTTGCTTTCGGAATTTTAAATCAAAGCCAAATGACAACCCGCCTAGAAAAATGATTATCAGATAATCGTAAACTGAAGATGACATAATAGATGATGTTGAAATCGACACGAATAATTTGATGACGAAACACTGGAAACAATAGGGACTGTAGTCACATGCAGTCATAAAATCAACTCAGATCAACCGCATAGTCCATAATAATATATCAGGATTAGAATTCCGAACCAACCAATAAAAACTACAATAATCACCGTACGATTATGTTCAAAGTTTCAAATTCAGAGGAAAAATGGTCTAATCCAGGGTCCAGGACACACACAACTAAAAAAAATACGTATTAAATATACAAATAATCGTAATACTCAAACATTTTCAAAGGGTCATCGAACAGCCAATCCACCCACAGTTATGACTCATCGACCATCGTCGTTCATAATTATAATATCCTCATGATCGGTCAAAACTATCAGGACACTAAGAGGGGGTGAAATGTCGTTACAGTCTTGCAGAGTATATGATAATGTAAGAAAGGTGGAAAGCAACAAGTACCAACAACTACCATGCCCAACGCCGTCCAGCAGCTATATGATTATCGCCGAAACAGCATCCGAGATGGACGAAACGTCGTACAAGACAATGCATGACAAATATGACAAACACTGCATCGACCAAACGTCAGTTAGAAAGAGGAGCACCAGGGGAGTGACCTATTGGAGCGTAATACGGACAAATAACATTTAAGCCGTACAGGATAACAAGACAACTGCAACGCCTGAGTTCAACCGTTATCAATTATAATAGGTGACTATGGCGGTGACTTTATACGTGCATATTTCAAACACCACCCCGACGAAAAATGTGTAATTATTGTTTCCAGATTATTTTTAAGAGTATTAGGAAATTATTTTTTTCTTTTGATCTTCCCATCTCTCATAGCATCAATTTTCTACCAGAAATCATCCTCGAAGTTGTATATTGAAGCATTTCACTGCTCCTAAAGGTGATGTCTGAAAAAAAAATGTTAAGCGATTACAAAATATGTTTGATATTAGGCATCATAACTATAAAACTAATACAATAATTTCTATGCTCAGAATCTAAAATATCTATATGTGTTAAAGTTAATAATGAACTCGTCAGTCGTCATTCCTGAATGTTACAACTATAATAATATACTGTGTACCTATAATAATATAATTTACGAACATATGCCTTAAGTACAAAATTATCATTACATACCATTTTTCCAGTTGTACAAAACTGTAGTCAAACTATAGAAACTGTATTATAGATAGTAGATACTCTAGTATAACAATGAAACAAGGTGTCAACTTGCATAGATCTGTTACTGTTAAATGCCCATGAAAATACATTGTGACAATAACTTTTTGATGTGTTTTGGGTGTAAACCTACTTTCGTTTATTACTTAATACTTTCATTACATTTTCAAAGTTTTTCACTCAAAGCCAAAAATGTAATCATAAATAAAAACTAAAAAATGTATAGTATTCAAGTAAAATAGTCGGTGACAATAATATCATATAACAACAGAAATAAATCGTTATTAGAACGTGTTTAGAATTAAGATCATATATGGCTGTATTTTATGCACTACTATACATAATATTAATGTTAAGTATAATATTGTGTAAAATAACAATAATGTATAGTACTCTACGATGTACCAACTATAATAATTATCTTTAGATATATAATTCTACTGTACATGTGTACTGTGTATGTCACTGAACTTCTCCTAAACGGCTGGACCGATTTGTATGAATTTTTTTGTATGCATTTGGGTGACGCCTTGGATGGTTTAGATTCACAATTGGACCCGATAGGTTTGACCCGGGGTGTTGCTGAAACATAGATTTTAAGATTTACGAAGGAAATATTTGTTTATGTACGGTTGCTGTTGGTTATAGAAGAAATATAAATATATTTAGTGGAAATTGGTATTTTTGTTTTGTTTATTGGTTGCCTGCAGTGGTCCATCGGGCAGGTCAGGTATAAGCATGCAAACAATTGAATATTTGTTCATTGCCTACCAAGGAGGCTGAGTTGCACTTATAGCCTCTCATCGGCGTGTCCGCAATCAAAATAAGAATAAAACATATTATTTATACAAAGTACTCATCAAGAAGGGTCCGCAATCCACAGCAGGCACGCATAATATACTGCTCGCATTATTACCATCGAGTCTCATATAGAGTTGGCATTTTCAACGGGCAAAACGCGGTGCACGGGATAAGCTAGTATAATATAATATCGACGTTTGGTAATAATCGAATTACCTACGTATTATTTCGTTACACCGTCAATCATAATATTAGATAAAAGTGACACGGCCGTTTATGAATAATATCAGTCACTGGAATGACACATGTATCGTCTCATCACTAGAAACCAATTTTTTGCAATAAACCTGTTAGTGGCTTTTATTTTCAATTGACTGTAACGGCTCGTCATATTACAAAAATGTCCTTTAAAACTTACCGAGCCACTGTTCTACAAATAGCTCGTAAGTTTAAAGTTAAAAAGTTGTATTTTGAGTGTTTTCGAGTTGTATTCACTTTGAATTATTTTTAAATTTCAACTATGAAATGTGTCGTAATAAATCCAGGAACCTGCGGGATCAAAGCATTAAATTATGCATAATATTGTACAGTGATGAATAATTATGTAAATGAATGATTAATATTGCATGCTAATGACTCAGACTGAGTTAGTCTCACTAACGGTGCACAATGTTAGTAATTAGTAGGTATAATAATAAAAACAAATGGTTATTTTTGTACAGATATTATTTTCATTTTTAATTTTGGTGGGGCATACTTATTATTATTATAGAATTATACCATGTAAATGTTTATGAATATACCTACTCAGCTGGATGAAATACGCATACACTAATGCGACGGTATTATGATGGTTTGTAAAATTTTTATTTTCACTTGAATGTGACCTTTTAAGTATTTTTTTCATCACGGTGATGATAAAAAAAGTCTTTTAATTTTTGAACGTTGAGAATTGTATTCCTAAAATCAAATAGCAATATTACTTTTTTATGGTGATATAGTAGTATTATAGTGCCTACCAACATCTACATATATTCATTACTCATGCATAGATTAAAGTGAGACCGTGGTCTCAAGGCTGTGAGGAGCCTAATCGGTCATCAACCTTAAGTTCTACAAGTGGTAGCTTATTTTTTTTTTTTTTTTATTCTGAGAGGAGCGATTACATTGTATTGATTTCACAATGTGTGTTTGTTTCTGTCATCATCTTTCAAGCAGTAAAAAGATGCTTAAATTTTCAGCTTCCAATATCTCTTCTGGCAGGATATTGTGAATCTAGTTGATTTTGAGGGAATACAATGCTAAAGTCAGAAATCATAACAGTGACAACTAATTATAAAACAGTCGATACCTATATGTATGTATACCTATGTACTGTGTAAATAACCGTGGTATATACATAGATGATAGGTACCTATACCTCACACCTGTAGGTATGAGATTTTTTTCTGTCCGGAGTACGCACCAAATTGGTTTTAAAATAATTTAAAATATCTAAGAATTCCAGCGGGAATAGTGGTTGGTAGCCAGTAAGTAATTATTATCTACTGCTGTGATTGCCTTAATTTAATTAGCCATATTGATTTGGTTGGCTACTTGGCTAAAATAATGTGTACAGGGTGGTTTATTTTTTCGGTTGTCAATAATCAACCTCGATGAGGTTCGCTTTAATTCTCTAAAGGTTGGTGCATAAGGTCAAGTTAGAGTTAAGGGATGTGCTAAGTTCCAAGTTAAGACAATCGCCCTGTATGTGTAGGAATTCTGTGGAGGATGAGCGCTTGAGCTGGATTCAACGTGGGATTTATGTGGGTATATATGGATGACATCGGATATAGTGGTGGGTAAGACGTATATGCAAAGCGTTGGAGGTCTAAACAGAATAAAATGTTACACAAACGATAAAATATATATTATGTTTTACAGGAAATGGCTCGGAGGGACTAGTTTTTTTGTTTCCTTTTCGTAGTTTTAAAATATTCAAGAATAGCGGGTATATTATAAAACAACGCCCGGAGTTGTATTTAGAGTTTTTGCGCATTCAGACAATAATTATTACTATACCAACCCTGAAAATATCACATGCTATTATTTCGTGTAACATCCTAGCAGAGTTAGAGATCCTTTTAAATTCATTTCAATGACATTTCTCCAAATTTTCAACTGGCTTTATTTTATAATGTAATAATAAAATCATATTTGGTAGTTTTTGATTCACTTTTTTTCTTGTTAAAACATTGAAGAAAACGTCTTAATATTTCTTGATAAAATTACAAGAAAAGTATTAGATAAATAACATTGATATTTGAATTTTACTTTAATCTATGGCATTTTTAAAAACCCAATACAGCAAACTACACTGCAGGGTGTCAATGTACCAACTTATCTGTTCATATTTAATTCCTTAAAATAAAATAGGTATATTCGGCGTGGTGTTTAATTCGAAATAATTGTGATTTTTCAGAAGCCAATTGGTGCCCTGGAAAAACGGACTAAATGCTGTTTGTGCTGCAAAAGCAACAGAGTGGTTTTGCAGTGCTTACTGGAAAGGTCGGCGTACGTGTGCGGCGAGGCGCTGAGACTAAAAGCCAACATAAAAAATCAAAACGAAAAGGACATCAGGCTTAAAGTCAGATTACTACAGGTAAAACTTTTTTCTTCAAAATACAGTACTAAATGTAAAGTTTACAATAATTACTGCATATCATGTTTGTACTAGTACCTATAACACACGAGTAAGGAGCGTGTGTAATTTAATGTGTATTTGGTGACCGAACAGATCACATATTCACTGACTTTTCCTAATAATGGAAAAATAAGTTCCCATTTTTTATAGTTATTGGAAAAATACATTATAACAAATGGTTGTTGAATTTTCTTTTCGAAAATGAAATTACCGGCGTATGTATATTATAAAAAAACCTATTAAATGACAATCGTATATTAAGTATATTGTCCATTACTAATTAATATTATGTAAAATAATAATTTCTGGTATGACTATATCAGCTGATAGTATACAAACCTGCTATACCTACTACCCGTATTATTAAGAATACTTTTCAAATGTATTCAGAATACATATTTAAATACTTGGTATTTTTTATATTTGAAATGCGTATTCGAATATTGTCTTTCAAAAGCATTTGTATTTAAATACAAATTAATTTTAAAGGTATTCAACATAATGCTTTAGGGGTAATTTTTTGTAGTATATTATATGGTTTATTATGTTTGAACGTTTATCACAAATGTATACGCTTAAAATGACTAGTAAATATTTAAATTGTATAATTAATAAATACATCCTTTAAGCCTATTCAAGTTGAAGTACTTCCGCTGAGATTCCTCTTCTCCCTGTCTTTTCTTTCTATATCAATGGAATTAATTATTATTTTTTATCACTTGAGTTTATTCTGTTAATTGAAACAGATGGCATAATATAACATTTTAGAAAAAAGAAAACATGCTTTAATTGGTTTAATAATTTCCGATGTCAAATACCTATTATATTTCCAAGTTAAACTTCGACAAGGTAGATATGAATTTTAGGTATTGTGTTATCTGCGTATTTAATGAAATCTTAAAATTTCTTAAAAGCATTTTAGATTATTAAAATATTATTTAAAGACCAATTTAAATTTGGATATTACTTTATTGATAGCATCTCGTTGAACAATACAACTATCTTAACGAATGACAAAACTAGAATTCCAAGAATTCTAATTCAAATTTACCTTGCTAACTATGTATCACATTTTCCCATTATATTAGTATATTTCAATACAACGATTGACGACATTATTTTCATTTACTATACTGTTTATAAACTATGTACAATAGAATACAAATTGTAATAGTATAGCCACAGCTATATGCCTATTTAGATAATACTACGTATTAGTTAATAGATCACCCTTACTATGTAGTATTGCAAACTCGTTATTAATATATTTCTATATACCACTGTAAAATACGAGAAAGAAATTGATTAAAAAGAGCTACAAACATATTAAACGTAATCCATATGAAAAAATACAACCGAATTTAAACAAGAGATATACATGGAGTGAATCGGCAATAGTATTATAATGTGTATTGTATAATAGAACTCTATATGTAATAGAGGATATATTATACAGGTATAAAATAACATGTATTGTGTACCAAAAACGAATTATTTTAATTTAAAATTTAAAATTAGGTTACGGTGCTACGTCGTTTTAAATTGGTTGATATACCTATACTATACTAAATTAAATATCAAATACGGCTGTAAAATATTGACTATCGTTCGTATTATATACACATACAATGTAATTTATACCTCCCATCGGACACATAGAATTCGTTCATTATTCACTCAGATTAATCGTTCGCAACCTAAATTCATCAAAACGTAAAGGACGTGTCATATTAAGTATTTCCCCAGTGTGTGTCAAATGCAATTTAACTAACCCCGGAATTACAACATATTATGTGTTTGTTTAAATATTCAGTTTATGTAGGTAACATAAATCAATACCAATAATTATTGATCTATAACCTACGTCAGACCGAAATTTTGTGATGAGATGGGTACCTTGAGCGAAGCTGTTAACGAAGCTGTTTTTTCATTAGAACACTTTTTCTGGTTGTACAAACGTCAATAGTATTATGCACAAATTTAATGGACTGGACATCTTGACCCAGTAGTATTTTCAAACCTTTGAATAAACTTCGACGTTTTTCTAAGCTAAACAAAGTACAACAACTGTCGATAGTCAATAATATAATGGCGAAAAGTTGTATGCAGTGTTAGCGGATATCTGATCAAATAAAAACAGATACCATGAATACTTCATTATCATAGACAGACACTTGACATATATTTTTAGGGGGGGGGGGATAAAATAATCCTACTAAAAAATTATTCATATTATTTTTTTTTTTAAATAGGTACCTAGTTGTATTTCATAAGAAAGTATTGAAAAATGCAATAGGGGGGCTAATCTCCAGTGACCCCGCCCCTTGGCCACTCCCGATTACCACTTCATCGTATTTGTGTAGTGATAACTTTAACGCCAATTTACTTACCTATATTATACTCCTCAATAACCTTAACTATACAGTCACTTGACATAATATATAATTAATATTTTAAGTATAAATTATAAATAAACAAATGATTATCAACAAAACATAATTATAATTGTAATATTACTAAAAAATATATCTGATCATACGAACGAATATTAGTAGACACATAAAAATTCTGTCAAGAATTAATTATCATCAAAGTAAACCTGTCAACGATCTCGACTAAAGCAGCATAATAAATAAATTCTATAATAACCATATTATTATAGTTATGATTAAATAGTCATTCGTCCAAAGATAATTAATAAATTTAATGATCTAATGCGACAAAGTAAAAATTGTTTGATATAGTTTTTTTTTTATGGGAAAATCTCGTTTTGGATAGGTCACACAATACACAGTCCGATATTCATACCCAATGTCCCATTCTCCCATTTCACTTAACTGCGGTCGTCCTTTAAGAATTTTATTACGGTCAACACACCTTACACTATAATTGGTTATTGATCAATATTGCGAGTTATAAAATATATTATACAAATTGTATTACTTTAGGCAGAGTAATATGTTTTACAATAAACATAGGTAGGTACACCCACATTATTTTGAAAATTTTGCAAACTGTTGTCAACATTTTTTATCCGGAAAATCTAAAAATACAGCTTATTTTGACATTTTAGACTACTCACATAATATTATGTTGGTTTTTACATTTTTGATTTCGATGACGACCATTATTATTTTTAATGCCACCATCCAAAGCGGAATAATTTTCTAAAAAAATAATCATTTATAAATATTGACTATTGATGGAATAGTTTTTGTTCTTAAATAATAATTTAGCATAATATTTCAACTTTGGTTTCGTTTGTATTGAATAATGGATATAAATTGTGTACCTACTATCTACCATCCGTAACGAACCGCAATGTAAGCTTGCTTATTGCAACGACCATAGGCGCAGAAATAAGCCACTTAATGTATGCTAATTAACAGTTAAATATTTAGTTCTTTTTATATATTTATAAATTTATATGTGCGGTAAAAACCCGTAATTGGGTATACATTAATATAAATAATAGTTTTTTCATTGCAATTGCGGCCCTAGTGACGTCTCTATAAATGTTCAACAAAAAATTATATTTTCCGTTTAAGTATAATATTATATGAAAAAAATGACAGCCAAACAATGTATATTTTTAATTTGGCGGTTCTCTGAAACATAACAAAAAGAGCATACGATTAATGTCATCACAATATTTCAAATATCGAACAATATTTTGCATTAATAATTAATAATTATACAGCGACATAAACTGGTCACGCTTTGAACGATTATTCAAATACTAATTTATTCAAAATATCTAGCTATAAAAAGGTTAAAATAATAATAATGAACACAATTTTTTTTTAAACTGAAAAATCAATAGGCACCTACTTAATTTGTTGTATATAGGTAAATTAAAAATTAATTTTATCGGAAATATATCATTTTACAAGTTATTGAAAATATATATCAAGCATAATAATTTATTGTAAAAGCTTTTAAAATAACATAAAAACCCTTGTCTTAAGTCCTAGTGAGATAAAACTTATAAAAGATTCATTTTAATAAATATATTTTACCAAATTACATTATTCTTGTGTTTGAACTCATGACTTATTCCAATGCAACTTAAATAATTACAGAATTTATTGTCTTTAATGTATAATAATTAAAATCAAAACATATTTGACAGTTGTATATTTATAACTATAGGTAATGTATAACACGGCTGTCAATTTTAAATTCAAAAGACATTTTTCAATGTGTACATTTGTTTGCAATCAGTTGATAAAACGTGCTCAAAACGGGATATTAAAATACGTAACATAAATATTATAATATAATATATTTATTTAAACATATTTAGACAACAATACCATATCATTGGACTATTCAAACTTTCGGTAATCTTATATCGTAAAATTTCCATCAAACTTTATTCGACTTTTTCGCTCTGTAATCAAAATTGTATCATCCTAAAAGTTTAGCTGCCGTCCGACACCCACACGAGTACCTGAACACTATATATAGCATTTATCATTACATTTATACCCACAATCCTATTGAGTCCCGGCGACCGATGATTTATGGCTATAACTAGTATGTATTATATAGGTATATATTATGCAATTTTAAATTTACCAACATGTTATTACTTAACTAAATGTATAATATCACTAATATAAAAGGGTATGAATATGATTTTGAAAAAAGTTCTATTATGAGTACAGAATAATTAAATAAAAACAGTTTTCCATCATTTTGGATAATAATCAATCAAAATAAGTACGGAGCTCGGAGTCGGGATCGAGAGTGCCAAAATATATCATAACAATATTATGTTGGATATGATACCAATGTGAATGAAATATTAGCAAGCGAAATCAATGAAGATTCAGAAAAAATAATTAATAAATCGATCTATAGGTACAATCGCACAATACAACATGACTTTCATAAAAGCTGTTTGATAAGCAGCGTGACAATTTGCATTTTTTGGTTAGTATATAACAATAATATACTAATAAAGTAATAAAAGACAGCTGGTAATAATATTTTTTTTTTGTGTTTATTTATTAATTGATGTTACATAACTTTATTTTATTGAGTTAATGTTTAAAAATCTATAGTAATTGGCCACGGTAGGTTTACAAACTGTGGGGTGGGGTACGGGGGGTTAGAACACATGTTAATGTGGCGACGGTTTGTCACAAAAACGCTGATGGTCACCCATCCGAAAACTAGTGACGCCGGCTAATGCTTGACCTCGGAACACATTTATGGTTGAAGCCCAACACTGCGTCACACCAAACCACGTTTTATAATTTATAACAATTATAAACCATAAAGTATAAATTTTCATATTCTTCAAAAAATGTTATTACGAAAAGCGTAAACGTTGAAAACATACATTTGCGGTGCATGTTTTCTGTACCACAATGCTCCTCACATCTACATACTTTAATTTTTTATATATATATTTTTTTTTTTTTTGGTGTACGTGAACAAATATGTCGGGTAAAATAATTTTGTTCAGAACGTTTTTAATAATTATATTTCAAGGGTTAACGTTTAAGAAATATGTCGTTAAAAAAATAATGTGTTAAGAGTTTTGCTTTTGTAGTAGCAACTAGCGATGTATATTATAAGATGAGTTTTAAAAAAAAATTTAAGACGCAAGAGGCGAGTGTCTTACGTTAAACAAACAAAAAACCCTAATTTACTGACGACGACGATTCGTGCATTGTTAAATTATCAGCATCGTTTTTTAATTTTATTTTCAGAACGTTCACTATTCGGTGGAACGCGGCATGCTGGGCGTCCAAAATCAAAAAGACGTCCAACACTCGGTGTTGGAGTACATCGGCGAACCAATACGCACTGGGTGCGAATCGCAATGGGACTCTGCCGACGGCCTGGTCCTGCCAGTGATGCCACCTACATTGATCGGCAACTGCAGGCTGTTACAAATATATTACGTACTTAAGGTGATGTATGATAAACATCGAGTAGACATATATGATAATTATTATTTGCATCGGAGATTCATAGTTCGAGTTTCTATTTATCAGTGTCCTGCATGGTTCCCATTGGCATGGCACGAAAACTGGGATACCGCTTTAATATTCGCGAGACTTTTGTTTTCTTTTTCTTTAGTGGATAGGGTTAAGTACCTATACCTATACAATAGTATCCCATTATTGGAGGAGGACCAATGACTACGACCCTGAAAAACGTATCTTCAATTGCATAATCATAAGTGAAAAACTGTTCTAAATATTTGAACGAAAGGCATTGAATTTTAATGGATTACTTTTTTATAAATAATAATTTTAAGTATAGTTTAGATGAGTGAAGTAAATAACAATAGATATTGTATCCACTGGGAGGTCGTGTAAAACAAATATTTTTACTATGAGCACTACATTCTAAAAGGGCGAGGAGATCATAATAAATTATCACACATACAATATACATTATGCATAGATCAGGAATGACTTAAGCTTTAATTGGACCAGACATTTCACTATTTGCCCCTGCTTAGGTTATAACGTAAGAGTCTTCCCTACCAAAAAAGCATGATGGTATAAAATTATAGACGTACGAGATTTACACTCGAAATAGTTGTGTTTCTGTGTAAAATATAATTGTACTTGTTCTACAAGCTTTACAAATCCAATTTTTCAAACAACAATTTATATGCAGATGCATACATTTTTACAATTAATATGTCTATAAGTACTTCTATAAATACAAAAAGTCAGCACACCTCATAAATAGGTATACAAATATACATTAAATTCTGAATATAAATTACGTTTAAACATAAATACACCTTACTTATATTAAAATAGATGACTCGTGTTAATTATATAATATAAAACCTAATACAATCTGAAAATGTAATGACAAATCCTGTTCAACCATAAAATACTTCATTTTCAAAATAAAATATTTCATTAGGCACTTCAGTCTATAGCGTATTCATAAATTGCATTCGTTTTTATCAGGTTACATAAAATGATAGATTTTGTGTGAGTGCTGACGGTTTTGCAAATATGTAATCATTTGCTAATCGATCCTGCCTAGTTACTTTTCCAGTTACTATATACCCTTTATCTTCTAAATACGTTCTTACACCATCGTCACCTTCTTTTACATGGAAAAATTCAACTGATAAAGTCTAAAAACAAAAATATGTAGGTCAGTTTTTCTTGTAATACATAGTCATAGATATAATATTATTACTAAACTTACTCTTATATCAACCTTATCAAACGGAATAGTTTTTAATACATTCAACTCTGATCCTTCGACATCTAAACTGAAATAATCTATAACTGTTATATTTAATGCTAAAATATATGTATAGAATGGGAAACATTGTACGTTAACACTAGGTGATTTTCTTCTAAAAATGTCGTCTTCGACAACCTCATCGTTTGCTATTCGACCCATATTACTTCGTTGAAGAAAAGAAACCTAAAAAATAAAATTATTTAGTTATCTGATGTAGTACCTAAACCTAAAGAAAATATAATAAACGTTTCTCACTCACAAAAATTAAACTTATTAGAAATACACCAATTCATATGTATTAAATTTCAATATTGTATACGAAATATTATTATATGCATCTTAGATTGTTAAAACTTACAATTTCTGGATAAGGATTGACACTAAGACAAGTAGGTGATAAATATGCTCGACGACCCTTTTTTAACATTTTCGCAAAATTTAAAGGATCTGCTTCAATAAGTAATCCTGTCCATCCATAATATCGTTCTAATTATAATGTATTAGACCTTGTTTCACCATCCAAAGCTCCGCATTCAATAAAAAATCCTCCTTTCTAAAATTAAAATAAATTAATAATAATCACTTCAAATTTAAGTATTTGTGTACTATTACTGTATAATCGATGATCTTGGCTATTTCAGCAGCTTGCCCCATTGATGGATCTCTTAACGACATGTCAATTAAATTATAACGAGTTCTACTCCCTTTATTTTCTTCAATAGGTTTGACTAGGAAATTCTCTCGCAGTTTTCTTACAAGATTTGAATCATCCATGGATACTTTTGGACCATTCAATTCACTATCTAAAAATATTAGGAACTATGAATAAAAATAGGAACGAACAAATGTATGCAATCATTAGATTTAAACTATTTTAAAAATATTAACATGAGTTCAATAATATTATTATTAGTCAAATTTGCTGTCAATTTTTTCCTTACCATTTGGACGTTTACAAAAAGTTATGAACTTTATGACATTATACAGCCAAACAATGAGTAGTGCCAGTAAAAAATACAAACACAATTTTTTCGACAACCGTTTCATCGTGAATGTTATTTGTTATTGAGCACCTTCCGGTCACTTGACTTCAACCGTATAAAACGTTCCTAATGTTGAAAATTCTACCACCATGCCAGAGTTTTGTGAAATAAAATATTGAAATTCACAAGCCGGAACTGACGAAATAAAAAAAAGGTTAACTGGACTCACGGGGAGTGGTCAATTTGATAACTAAGCACCGTGATACTGTGTAGAGAAATGAATATTATTATATAATATTATTTCGTAGATGAAAAATAATATTACAATTAATACACTTCATTTGTATGTAGAAACATAATAGAAAGGTGTACGAAAAAATGTTTTTTTTTTTTTTTCATTAAATATACTTTATTAAAATGAACAGAAAGAATTATTGCATTTCGACAATAAATATGAAACAGAAAAAAGAAACGAATATAATATTTGTATAACACATAAAACTCATATTATATTGGACTAAAAAAATATTGTGGAAAAAAGCCATTGAGTCAAAACGTTTGTTATATTAAATAATTATTCTAGTTTATTTATTGAACATGAATAATGAATATTCCTTGACAGCTAGGCCATTAGCGTTACATGACATGTAATATTGTAATAAATAATCATTCTATATTTCTATTAAATATAACGCAATTACCTAGCTAATATATTTTTAAAATAATTATTTATATGAATGCATAAATTATTATAACAATGTCTATAAGTACTTCTATAATCACAAAAAGTCCGCACACCTCATAAATGAAACAAATATTTATGACGTAGAACTGGGAGGTGTATTGAGTTTGTGTTAAAACATTGTATACACCTCGTTTATATTATACCTACTAGTGCTTAGCTTGAAATGTACCTATACGAATCCGGATCATCTATTGTTTACAGATTTATTTTTAATTAATTAGTAAGTGATTTAGCTGCTGGACTATGCCTGAAACTGAACCCTAGATCTCAAAAGACACTGGTGTTTCGATCTGTTGAAATAAATTAATATTTATTCACAGATAAAAATGTTGCTGAAGAATAAATTTTCCCACGACATACGAATCAAAATCCTTGTCAGAAAACCAAAAATATGCTTTTTGTACAAAAAAATACGTAGGAGTAGATCGTATATAATATTATTATAAGTATTATGACAACAAAAAAATTTAAAAAATATTTATGAAGACTTTTAGTGTTTACTGTTAAAAATGTAAATAATCACCTTATTGTTTAAGCCGTTTAAAGCAATGAGGGATCTGATTCTCGATCGTTCCCGCTTATACCTCCTCCGTTTCACTTGGTGATGGTTTGATACAGCTCAATATCATTTGCACATTGCACCTATACCAAAATAGATTCTATCACTGATTAATGTTTAAGTACATTATATTAGTGATTTATTGTTATGGGATAGTTTGAGTTTGAGAATAATACGAAGTAGATGTCATTACTGTTTAGTAAATTTCTTTTGGATTTGTATTAAGAATTCAATAATACGTAATATTACAAATAGTAGTTTAAAATATTGATCGTTAAAAACGCACACCATTGTTTAACTAATGTGTTCATTGCTCGAAAACTAAAATAATTGTTGAGTTTTTTATATTTCCTGAGAAAAATACACATTAGGTATAATATTTTCATTATCACTAACCTAAAAGAGCAACTGCTTAGCGTTTTACTTTATATGATACTGATTGCTAATAGTAATATTTGTTTTATATTTTTTATTTAATATTTACATTAATTTAGAAAAATATCGAGTTAAGTGTCGCTAATGGTTCGCTTTAATGGCCGACAATTCTTGAACAACTCCTTCATATCTGTACCATCATACTATAAACTTATAAACTTATTATGCGTTTCATTGAATGGATTGTTTGTTTCAAATAAAAATATTTATAAGTAGTTATTATTTTATTCAAACTTATTTAATATTAATAAATTAATGATTTTCAAAAACGATTTCGGAATAGGTTAAAGTTCTTACTAAATTTTTTTTTTTACCTTATATCATATTTTAATTAAAAATAGGTGACTACATTTATCGGTTTTTTTTATTACAACAAAATCCATTCCCTGGGTATGATTTTCATGCTTTGTACAATTTAACGTAGCATTAAATCTAATCCGAATTTTAAAAATAATTCCACAGCTTGATCAAAAAAGAGTTTCCACAGTCATTGAAAGAGTGAGCTGAGGTGTAAAAACAAGATGATGAGCACAGCAAAAAAAATACTGAGTGTAATTCTACGAACAATTCAATGCGAAAAAAATTGCATTCAAATAGTACTCAATTATTTTACTCTACTAAAGAATATAAACTACCAACGAATTTAAAAAAATACCCCAAATAGATTGACAGTTGGTCCTGAATCCTTAGTATAACACGACGTTATGTATACATAGTATCTTTTAATTTTTTATCGGTATAGTTATAATTTATTTATGGTTTACAATAAAACAATTTTTGGTATGGCATAGTTATAAATAATATTACGATTTTTGATATTGTAAAAACTGTGTATTCTAAATAAAAGCATATTGACGCAGCTAAACAAATAGATAGGTACCTATAGTTGTATTACGATAATATCGTAATAATTTAAATTCTATGATACATTAACACGTGTTACGTATAACTAAAAAGCATGGACTTTGTGCAATTAATACAGTTTCGTTCATATTAAAGAAAAACAGTTTTTTTTTTCATAGATACCTTAAGTTCAAATTTGCACGAAATTAGATATTCAAACGAAGATATAAAGTACATTTACATGTACTTTTAGTAACTCTGTAAAGTGTAGATGAAATCAAGCTCCATTAAAATTTGTTTTATGTTACTTACTTTAGTAGCACATAAATGAAATTATGTGTTGCATATTTTGGAACTTTTAGTGTACAAGTAACTGTATTACCTATGCTAATTTTACAGTTAATTTGGACTTTGGCACATTAAATCCAAAATGTTAATATTAACATGGAATGTCCACAGCACCTGTAGTACCTACCTACAATTAGTCATTTCTTCTTATATAAAGTATTTATATCTTAGGTGTATGGTATTATACACGGTTGTAACTAGGTAATATAATACAGGGTACAAATCCAGCCCCCTCCCCCAGATATATTATTTCTCCAATTTTTTTTTTTTATAATTCTATAGATCCTGATATTACTGTATTCCAATCATAGATATGTAAATCGTATGATAACATAATATCATATTATAAAATATAGATACACATTTGTGAACTGAAAAACCAATATTGTATTATATAACAAATTGTAAATTAAAAACAGAGTGTATATTGTAGTTGTATTTGTGTTGTAAAAAAATTGTGCACCCCTCCTCAGATATTTGCAGTGGATCCGTGTCTGATATAATGCACTTAAGTGTTTAACGATAAAATCTGATACCTAAACCCAGCAAAATTCAAATGGCCATTTATTTAAAATTTATCGTATCAGATAACAATACATTATAAACGTTCTTTTTTTAACGTAAAACATTTTTGCACAATTAAAAAAAAAGTCGACTAGTGGATGGTGATGATGGAAAAGTACTTAAGTGTAATGTACTTGTTCCGTTGTTAATTGTTATACTATACGACATAATATATCATCTGGAGTGCTGCTGATATTAAGATCAAGTGTTATAATAGTATATGCCAATTCATTATTATAGCCTATAATAGATCCTATATTATACAGAAGTTTTTTTTTTTAAGGGGCGATCATTCAAGTTAGTTTTGTGAAGATTATTATATTATAGTTCGATCTAAGTTTTCGTTTCTACAATCTGTTGTACATAAATTGTATGTATAACAACGTTCCAAAGTTCACTAGGTAGTAGGTAATGTAATGGACCACAGTTAATAAATGAATCAACGTTAAACGACTGAGCCTCGTGACCTCGTCCATATACCATAGATGATAGATCCGGTATGATGATCGCGAGTTCTCAATATAATCGCATGGAACAGTACCTACAAAAGAAGGTACCTAAGCTTAAAATAACTTTGTTTCCTATCGGCATGCACAATTTGTTGTATCCATCTAACACACATGGTACGTAGGCATCTATGTGTATTGTGTTTGTGTATATTCCTAGTGTCCATAATCAAATGTCAAGTATTCGAACAACTAACAAGTTCGTTAAGTATTTAAAGTTATATGTAATTTTATTATTGATATTAATATCAACAAACAAAGAACTTATAATTGTGGTAAAAATTCTAAAAAATACAAAACGAAACAGAATAAAAAATCGCCCATTGCGATGTCATAGAGTCCTTATGAGCCACGACTACTCGACGTATTTCACACAAATTCTTAAATGTAAGTACCTACTTAATCGGTTTTAGAATCATCTGGTGAACATAATAATCTAGTATATTACAGTACCAATATGATTTATATATTATATATGTATATTATTTTTGTTTTGGTATATAATATTATGAATATATGCCATTTGGCTTTTGACAATATATTATCAAATTAAACTGTTATTATCTATACATATAATATAGCATTTTATATTTATATTATATAAATGAAACAACTAGCTAAATTAAAAAAGTTTTAAATTAATAATAAAATATATGATAACTCATTTGGCTAATTATTTTTAAAACGTTTTTCATAGTCTGAATGAGGGTTTTATAGAAAAAAATTGAAATATAGGCCCTGTAGTCATTCACAATTTTCGAGGAAAATTAAATATTTTTTTTTTTTTACAAATGATTGCCATTGGTTACATATTGGTATCTTACTGATTATAATAGTAATAATACTTATAATAGATATAAAAAAATTGGTATTTTTTTTGTTTTTCAATGGTTGACAATTTGACATTAGTTACTCAGACAGATGAGGCACAGCCATACATCAAATCTTTGGGTTTATGGCCTCGTATAAAAAAATGATGTCTTAAAACATAATATATAAGAGTTAAATGTATATTTGTAGCTCATCTATAGACTCAAAAACTACTTGGTCGATTTTGTGAGCATTTCAAATTGTCCTTAGAGTTATCAGAAATACTTAGAGTGTAGTTTAACAACGTTACATTTATACCAAGTGCTACAATATTGGATTCGTCACAGACGAATTGTCCACCTCTGTCGAAATTGTTCACAAAGCAAAGTAAGGTAATGCCGATTTTCCCGTGAACTGGTGACTGGTGAGATAGGTACATTAAACGTAGATACTCTTATATAGGTATAGCTCTATATTTTATATTATTTATTCACAGGCGAAGTAGGGTTATACAGCTAAACATGCATGTATGTTGGTTTATCCGAAGTTAATAAACCTAAAAAACTACTGAACCGTTTTCAATAAAAGTTATATCTATATAGGTTTCTTGAGACTTGTAGAATGTTTGTATCCTCTTTTTACAACATCTATAGGTAAGTAGTATAAAGGGTAACTCTCGTATGATTTTTTTTTTCAGCTCGCGAAAAAAAGAATATTTTTTTGTTAATTTATATGTTTGCCATTGGTTATAATATATTATATTACCTACTATTAAAATTAGTAGAAATATGGCATATCAAATTGTTTATAAATATATTTATAAGAAAACAAATCTTTGTCACTGGCAGAGCAGGGCTGCAACTAGTACATTATAACTGTGTTACGCATTCAATAAGCCCAGAAAATTGTCGCTTCCGATGAAATATCCTAAGAGTACTTATGTAATATTTTATAATTGTGCATATACTTTCTTACAGGTCTGCGTGGATTTGGGTAAAGGAGACGAAGACCTTAACATAACGTTTCCGATAACAATAGCAACTGTGCCGTTCAGGATACCAAACTGTAACAAGACTCCTCAAATATTTTACAGTAAGCACCTAGATATACATAAATATAATATTGGTGTATATTTTAAAAAGGACATTGATTTAATTCATTAATTGGTAATGGCTGGTTGTTATAACCAGTGGTGTATTTGGTGCGGAGGGGTGACGTCAAGGCGTATCTTCTTAATCTCTCCCCCTTGACCAGTTTTGTTTGTATCGATCATTTTTATATGACTTATTATTTAAACTCACACTTTTTTGTTCTTTAGTCAAAAAATAAAATCTGATATCGTATCAAATACATAATTGTTATTACAGTTGTATTGAAAATTATACAACCAAATAACCAACCATCAAAGTCATGGTTATGGACCATAGAATTATGTGCCCTGATTTAGAGCACATAACATACGTCTGCCTATAAAGAAACATTAACCGAAGGTACTTTTCTTGTTTGAAATGAATCAAGACTTATCTCAGAACAACTTTGAAGGAAGTTAGACCATTCTAAATGAACAGACAATTACTAGTAGTTATTTGGTTTTAATTTAAATTTTATACCAGGTGTACAGTTTAAATGCACTTTACTATACTTGTATAGTCTATACGCCAGAAAATTATAAATTAAGTTTGAAGATTTAATTAATGAGCTGAAAATGAAAAATATAAATAAATTATAAATTAAAAGATTACCTATATAAGTTATAAATTAACTTTTTTAAACTAATTTTTAAAACATTTTTCATACTTTTTATTTTTTATTTTTTATACATTATTTAATATTGTCCACCCCCGACAAAGTCCTAAATACGCCACTGGTGTTAACGAGGTATTAAGTTTAATTTAAGTTGTTTTTAATAATTTCCATTAACACTTACAAATTTAGGATTGTGAATTTAATGATAATGCATAATATCCATGAATTTCTTTCAGAATTCAAAATGAGTAAACTAATTCGAATAATTTGATTTTAATCATTACCATTCTAATTGTTAAGAAATATAGTTTTGAATACTTACAGTAGGCATTTACATATTTTGTACTTCAATGCATATAACGATTCTTACATTTTACAATAAATTATATTGCATGTTTTGATATATTACAACATTTATTAATGTTAATAGATATAGTTATGTTATAAATTTACCTATAATTAATTTAAATGAATAACAGTTATTACTTATTAGTTATTAGCTGATACAGATGTCAGTTTCTTTATATTTTAATCATTCAAATGCCGGGTACATCTTAGTTTCTACCTTCATCTTATTATTATTTGGTTTAATTTTTAATTGGAACCACATCAGACAGTTCTGTTCTAAGTATTAAATAAAAAATACAAAAAACTATTTTCGCCACACAAGCCACCAATTTACATATTATACTTTTATTGAATTTTTATTATTGTGCCAATTATATTTTATGGGTATCACATAATCATAACATAATACAGCATGATTTGTACATTGAAAAATAAATCAATAAAATATCCAATGACTCTTGTTGGAATATAACCTACATAATATAATATGTATTATATATGCCTATTGTTTCATGTCTTATGATTCAATATTTGTCATGAGACTTATAACGCATTAGGTTACCTATAAATTATAGGCGGTAATCTGGGGAGGGGGATCAAAATAACCTGCCAAAAATTTAAACTGTTGGTTATTGGATTATTCTAGCCCTCTACAAATTCAACCAAATGTCTGCCTATGAATATGATGGCACCTAATAAAAAACGAAAATTCGTGCATTGCACACTGCACAATTGGCGATAATAAATAGGCGATATTACTCTGCCAACCGATTAGAATTGTTGTTTAAACATAATATATATTGCACTTCGGTAAAGCTCACTTCAATCGGGAAAAAGTGGATGGAAATAAAATTTCACGTGCACCTTGAATTTAACATTATATTTTGTGGCATTAATTGTGTGTACCTGTTACACAGGTGTCGCGTGCGATCACGTGGAGGGCGGTAGGTACATCGGACCGGAGTTTTTGCTCGGCGGCCACGTTTACGATGGGTCGCAGACCGAACAGATCGTCCTGTACCGACCGGTGTACGTGAGCGTACGTCAGCCGAACTGCAACTCGACGTCAACGACGGCGGCGGCGGCGGCGACGGTGGCGGTGCCGACAGCGACGACGCTGACCACGGTGACCACGGCGACCACGGTGACCACGGCGACCACGGTGACCACGGCGACCACGGCGACCACGACCACGTGAATGCGAATGCAAATTCGACGGCGGCGCGTTATCGATTCATATTACTGTTGTGTTTATTGTAGTTTATTATTTCTCCAGCAGTCGACGGTACAAGACGACAGATCCGTCGTGCGTTTATTCATTTATTGTACGTGTGTGTGTGTTTGTTTGTGTGTGTGTGTTGGGAGGGGTGGGGAGGAAATCAAATTGTAATGTAGACTTGCCATTCTATATTATTCTCTTAAGGTTTCTATCAATAAGAAATTCAAGTAATAAAATTATGTTTTCTATTATATTTTTTAAAACATGGGAGAAAACATAATATACCTACCTAACTTAAACATTTTGTAAGGTTTTGTCTCAAAGAGGCACAGAAAGTGCTGAGAAAGAAACTACCTAGGTACTCTATACACTTTCTTGATATCTATAACTCTAAAAGTATTCTCTGAGACTTCGTCAAAATTGGTGGAGTGGGTACCTAGTTTTTGAGTCTATATAGGCTACAAACATATTATGGACATCGCCTTTTGTAGCACAATATGATGTATTGTACCTACAACAAAGAATTGAAATAAAATAAAATTATTATAAATCATATTATAATAAAATCTATTTATGGAATAACAAACAATTAGTTAAATATCATTTTATTTTATTAAAAAAAAAAACATATAGCAATGCATGGCTGGTCGGCTAGTCTATATATTTATTTTAAAAAATATATTCAAATTTCGTGATTCAAAACGAAATTCATGTGTAAACCACTCTATAGCAACCTTTAGAGGTAGAAAACACTGCCCCAGCCACAATGAATGTATGCAAAATTTGGTGCCAGTTGGTTTAGTAGTTTCAAAGTCAATAAACCCTATACAGCTATACCAATGTACAACAATTCATAAAATATCAAAGCTTGGCGGTAACTAGTTAAAAAAAAAAAAATAACTCAGTAAGTAACTAAATTATTTATTTTTATAAATAATTGTAACTTAACTTAGTTATTCTGTAAAAACTAAAGTTATTTATGAGTTTTCCTATTAAGAACTGTATGTCTGTACCTATATTATTTGCATTGATATTTCTGAGAACTGCCAGGACGGAGGGATATCTACCAACAATAGGTACATTATAATTTATTAATATATTATAGACGTATAAAGTACTTTGTGTTATAGTGAATAATGATTATTATTATTTATACATTGGGCACTAATTTGGAACATATTAGGAAGTTTAGGAATTTATAAGCATACTGCTGCTTGATAGGTAATAATACAATTTCCAGAACTGACCTAATTAGTAATTTCTGATACAGACATTGAGACATACAGTGATATCTATATACCTACAGCGCGTTGCCGTGTTTTCTACAAACTGCACTCTACAGTCTCATAGTAGTTATAATATTATATAGGGATATACCTAAATAAAATATTACAATAACAGTAGTTTATCTTATAAAATCATATAGTCTGTGTATTTGTTATTAATTTATTTTACTTTATACCAAAACTAGTTATTTTTAGAGATAAAAAACATTAAGTTAAAGGTATTTAAAAAAAAAAGCAACTAAACTCTTAACTTAACTGAGTTATTATTTTCATGAAAATTGGTAACTTAACTTAGTTACTCATGTTTGTTTATTTTATAAAATTAACTTTAAGCTCAGTTATTTTTTATTTTAAGATAACTTTTGCTAGTTAAAAAAAATTGGTTAACTTGCAAATGTGTACCTATGCCATATTACTACTAATTACTATAATATTATAATAGGTAATGTAATATTATGTAACTTATGGCACCCATTTAAATAAACAAAAAGAATATTGTTATTTTGTGAACCAAAAAAAAAGCATGCTTATCCACTTTTTTGCTACCCATAGGGGTTGAAATAAGCTTAAAACCTTTTCCGTGATATACTCTGACATTTAAAAAAAGAATCAAGATAACCGTGTGAGTAGTTTCTGAGATTAGCTATTACAAAGAAAGTAAATTTCACGTTTACATAGTTAGATACACATTATTTACGTAGATTATAATATTAGGCAATAAATAATCGTCTTTTGTGGTGCCTATAGTCTATGACAGAGTGGTGAATGCAAATCTCCTTTTTTTGGCTCTCCTAAATAAATTAAATTGTATTTCATGATTTAAAAATTGTAGTAGGCATACGATAACAGTGTAACACCTGCTCGATAATATACATTGTAGTTTATTATTTCTCCAGCAGTCGACGGTACAAGACGACAGATCCGTCGTGCGTTTATTCATTTATTGTACGTGTGTGTGTGTTTGTTTGTGTGTGTGTGTTGGGAGGGGTGGGGAGGAAATCAAATTGTAATGTAGACTTGCCATTCTATATTATTCTCTTAAGGTTTCTATCAATAAGAAATTCAAGTAATAAAATTATGTTTTCTATTATATTTTTTAAAACATGGGAGAAAACATAATATACCTACCTAACTTAAACATTTTGTAAGGTTTTGTCTCAAAGAGGCACAGAAAGTGCTGAGAAAGAAACTACCTAGGTACTCTATACACTTTCTTGATATCTATAACTCTAAAAGTATTCTCTGAGACTTCGTCAAAATTGGTGGAGTGGGTACCTAGTTTTTGAGTCTATATAGGCTACAAACATATTATGGACATCGCCTTTTGTAGCACAATATGATGTATTGTACCTACAACAAAGAATTGAAATAAAATAAAATTATTATAAATCATATTATAATAAAATCTATTTATGGAATAACAAACAATTAGTTAAATATCATTTTATTTTATTAAAAAAAAAAACATATAGCAATGCATGGCTGGTCGGCTAGTCTATATATTTATTTTAAAAAATGTATTCAAATTTCGTGATTCAAAACGAAATTCATGTGTAAACCACTCTATAGCAACCTTTAGAGGTAGAAAACACTGCCCCAGCCACAATGAATGTATGCAAAATTTGGTGCCAGTTGGTTTAGTAGTTTCAAAGTCAATAATCCCTATACNGTATTTATTAAAAAACTAGAAATCAATGAATAATAATAAAAAATAGTCACAAATAACTAAGTAGTTAATCCTTTGGTAAATTACAGTTATTTATTTTTCTAATTTGTAAATGATTACAAATGTACAATGTTTACCTATGAATAACGAATTTGCAGATATCAGAATAATCATGATTTTAATAGGTTCTATGAGATAGGAGTATATTAGCCCAATTTAGACCAGATAGACCAAAAATAAAATAAAATATCTGAAGAAAATAAATATTAATACGAAGAAATCATGAAAACATGCAATTATAGGCAAAAATAATAAGTATAATAAATAATAAATAAAAAAACAAATAATAATAATAATAATAAAATATTATACTTACTATAATATAATACATTTTATAGCATAATACACTCTCTACTCAGTTTACTCTAACCTGTAAATATTCAAAATAAGATTTTGTATTTGAACTATAAAAGAACATATTTTGTCTGAATCCATTTTTCCTACGGAGTAGTGAAAAAAAAATACAAAATAAATGCATTAATGCACAGCCCTGACTATTAGTTATTACTTATTACTAATAAATTCCTAAAAAAAAAACAATAGTTTTAATAAATTTATTTTTAACTCGATGCTGCAAAATTCTTACTTAGGTGTAGCTCAAGTTATCTAGTATTCCAAAAATCTCAAATACGGTTATGGCCACTTATTCAGACGATACTGCAATATACTTTTACCTACCTACTAAATAAAATTGATAACTGGTCATCCGAAAAAAAAAATCAATGAATATAAATCAATAAACATTCCATTCGTGCTAAAAAAAACAGTTCTACCCCTCACTCACTCTAATTCCAATGAATACCAATTCCGATGTCTTCCGGAAGTTAAATATTTCGAAAAATTAGGTACCTACTTGATAAAAGATTAACTTAGGCTCACTACATAAAATCTAAAATGAAAATTCTCAACAGTAGACTCCATTTACTCCACTCAGTAGGTACGTACCTACTTAATTATAAATTAGCCTTCCACGCTAAAATCACAATATGCAAATCTCTATTAAGACCCATTGACTGTTCGCCATTTGGACCGATGCAATTCAAAGTCGAGGATGTGCTAAGCCATCTCAAATTCGTACCTACGCTACAAGCATTCCAATCCGTCACTCCGTATTATCTCTTCTGCACCATATGTCCATATGGTACCTATGTATCACTATGCACACTTCAAAATGACTCTAAAAAAGAATCACTAAAATCAATTAGCCACAAGCCCACAAAACATTAGAAACGATTTCATTCCAAATAACAGACTCATTAACGTAAAGATGTAAAGTATAGACAAGGTAAATTACATTTTTAGTAGGTAAACAATAAATTCTCTTTTTGAAAAAAAACCACTTATTAAAATTATTATGCCTAGGCTTAATATTTTAGCGTGGAGAAGGAAGTATCTACTAATTGTTGATGATTAAACAGTTCTACAAGTATAAGCAGTTAGTACCCATTTATTATCATCGCCCCCCTCTAGTCAACAGTTTTATAAACATAAAATAAGTACCTACCAACAACACATCTAAATTTTATTTTTTGAACATTATAACGTTATAAATAACATTTTGAAGCACTGTCATAAATACACAATATTGAACTACAGAGTGCACATTGTGAATCAGTCAATTTTTTTCAAATTGGCTTTAAAAATATTACTTATCTAAAATTGAGTTTGGTAATTTAGGTATATTTATGACAAATATATGGGTAATATAATTGAGGCATAAGGCTCTTTGGCCCATGAAATGCCTATACACACCACAAATGTATATTAATTTAATTAAGCTATTATGGTATTGCATTAATACTTGTTAATAATCATTTACATTACAGTCGTAAATAATTGGGTAGGGGTGGTTTTCCCAAGGTATTTTAGGATGAAATTATTATTTAGTCCCACCAGACTGAAATAAACAGGTACTTTACGCTGTTATATTGGTTTAATGTACACACCACATATTATTAGGTTATACTGGTTATAGTAGGTATATTTATTATTTATTGAGTATTTATTAATTTATAATTAAGTACCTTTATCAAACATTGGGGAGAGTTAAGAACATGTCATAGCAAAAAAAATCATCCTAGCCCCTCACATGTAATTTACATTAAATTGTTTAACACCAACATGTACGAATAAAATATAATATGTTTTGTTATGTGCCTAAATCTATGGAATTAAATACAATTTACTGACAAAATGTGTTATTATATAACGTTAATTTTGATTGTATTTTTAAGATGTTTTACATACGTTTAATTTGTATACCAATGTATTTAAATAATGAACTAATTGTACCAGTATTATATGTATTATTGTTACAGTAAAACGCCAAAACTGCAATTCTTATATTAACGAAAAAGCATTTCTATGTTAATCATCAGTCAATTAAAATATTTGTAATTCTTAAAAAATGTATAAAACAGGTATCCCTACAACCATTTTCACTAATCTAAAAAAACCTCAAGAATAATAAAAATTTTAAATTTAGTATTTTAGTGTTTGTTTTTGTGAGTATGTGTGGTATGAGTGTGACATTAGAATCAGTTAAATTTCAAAACAACTATACGTAATATGATAATGATTTATTAATGATAAATAAAAACAATTATTTTAAACTAAAATAAATATTTATCTTTTCAATGTATTAAATTCAGAATACTATAAAAATAAATAACAACACTAATGTAATACAATAAAACACAATTAAACACAATAAAATTTTACAATGTGAATAATATAGGTATTATTAAATGTTATATTAAACATAAATTAGTATTAGAATTAATATTGAATTAAAACATTTTATGTTTGATGGCATAAGGATTAAATTGATTAATGAATTGTAATGAAGTGTATCTAAACCTATTCTAAAGAAGTATTGTAAGAAAAATAGAAATGGCTCAATAAAACAAACTAGCCAAGAAAATACACGTTTTAAAAATGCCTAACTTAATTTAAATTAAAACACTTAATAATGTTTCAGTACATGTTGTTATCTAAACTAAAATGTAGAAAAATACTTTTTTCAAACATATTTTTACTGAAATAAATTGAAAATAGATTTGACAGGTAAACATACATTAACAGTAACATTTAATTTTCTAATGAAATTCCAAAAAAAATTATATAAAAAACATTTTTATGGTTAAGTTTTCCTTGAATATTTCTATCAATCATACAAGATAAATGTATAATATTATTTTATCACAAAATAATATAAGAATTAAAAAGCAGTTACCAACCAGATATTGAGACTGTATGGGACTTAGCAATCTCCTCACTTCAAACACAAGTAAGTATAATTAAGTATTGTGAATAAAAAATAGTTTCTTAAAAAAGATACAAAAATACATTTTGTTCGTGATCTACGAGTTTCTAAAGAAAAGAATACGAAGAAATAATGCCTATGTGTTGA